TCTTCTAGTAAATATCAAAGTCCTTGTTCTTCCTCTGCATAGATTATTACATATTTTTAGGTGTACATTCAATGTAGAACCTCTTGTTTTAGCTGGAATGTTTCTCCCATTCACAAGTAAAGATTAAAGTTGTGCTAAAGAGGCATACACAGTTTTAGATAAATAATTTATAAAAGCCTGTATGAGGATTTTCCTTCTTGTTGGCTTTTCTTTAATTCTAAAAAAAATACCAATTTTCCAACTGTAACTTATTTTGTGTAAATGTTTAAATAAGAGAGTTGATAATTTTTCCCCTTTGAATTAATAGTGCCTATTGTCATTTAATGGTTTGTTTGTGTAATGGTGATTTTCTAAATTCTATCTTTGATATTTTACAAGTGATTTTTTTGGCCAATAATTTGTTCCAGATAATAATTCCCTGATATCACACCAGGAAATGTCTGTGTAATGTAAATTTCAATGTTAAATTATTTATTGTATATAAATTTGCTATCAGAAGGGGATCAACACACTGATCCACTAATGCCGGTCTAATAGAAAGTTAATGGCTTATTCCAACTGATTTTGCAAGAACAAAGGGACATGCTAACCTTGATGATAGTGTGCAATTAGCCAAGTGCCTAGGGAATAGGTTTTCTACAGTCCACATTAAGTCTGCAGAACTACAAAGGTAGCAACTTTTTTTCTAAGCCATGTTCCTTATTGGATTGTTGCCATTAACCCTGCAGAGAGATGGAGCTGAAAATCAGTAATACACTTGGGTGGCTAGAAGCCTTCTGAGATAGGTTGTCTAATTAGTGAATGCTTAACACTAGGGTGCTGTTCAGGCTTAGGAAGTGTATGTGAGTAGTCACTGCAGTACTTTCCTGGTTTTGAAAATTAGATCTGAGAAGGCAGCATGATGACTAGTGATGCATATCCAAATTATTGCCTCATGAACACAGATTTCAGCAATGACTCCACTTCCTTTGGGTAAACTAGAAAGTAAATAGCTATCCAGTCAGGCAGGACTCTCTACAGCTTCTGCAAGATTTTAGCGATGACTCTGGCTTCATTAAAACTAAAGCTGTCTGCTCTTCAGAAGATACTGTTAAGAGAATAAAAGGCCAAATCACAGACTGATATAACATTTTTGAAAACCACCTTTCCAATAAAAACTTGTATCCAGAATATATATAAAAGAATGCTAAAAATTCAATAATAAATTCAATAATAATATAATATAGGCAATGGATTGGAAGAAATACTTTATTAAAGTATATTTATGGATGGAAATAAGCATGAAAAGGCATTCAACATCAGTAGATTGTAGAGAAATGAAAATTATCACCAGGAGACACCACTATTTACCTATTAAATGAGTACAACTTAAAAGACTGATCTTACCAAGTTTTGCGAGGGTGTGGAGCAATTGTAGCTATCATAAACTATTATAGGAAATGTTAAATGAAGCAACTATTTTAGTAAACTCTTCTTTAAAAATTTGATCATGTATATACCATATCATCAGCCATTCTGCTCTTGAGTTTTTATGCCATAGAAATGAATGCATGTGCCCAGACAATGACTTATATGTGAATATAATGGCAACTTTATTAGTAATATTAAAAAGCTGGTAACAGCCTAATTGTGAGCCCATCAATAGGCAAATGGATAAATAAATTGTGATGTAGACATCCTATCTAATAAAATAGTAATATGAAAATTGACCATCACTCCAACATACAAGATGGCTGCCCCCATGTGGACACAAGATGGCCAGCAAGAGAGGGCAGATGGGGTGACCAGGCCTACAGGAGAGGACAATTGGGGGAGATTAAGCCTTCAGGGGAGGACAGTTGGAGGGGTCTAGGCCAGCAGGGGTGGGCAGTTGTGGGCGACCTACAGGGGAGGATAGTTGGGGGCAACCAGGCCTGTAGGGGAGGACAGTTAAGAGTGACCACCATGTCAGCAGGAAAGGGCAGTTAGGGGCAATAAGGCCAGCAGGGGAGCAGTTAGGTGTCAATCAGGCTGGCAGGGGAGTGGTTAGGGGGTGATCAGGCTGGCAGGTAGAAGCAGTTATGGGCAATCAGGCAGGCAGGCAAGTGGTTGGGAGTCCTGGACTGTGAGAAGGATCTCAAATTGGAGAGGGTGCAGGCTGGGCTGAGGGACATGTCCTGCAACCTCCCACCCCCATGCACAAATTTTGTGCACCGGGCCTTTAGTATTGTATAGTATTAGTCAGCAATAAAAATGAGTAAATGACTAATATACACAATTAGCATTGTGAACTTGAAAATAATTATGCCAAGTAAAAGAAGCCGGACAAAAAAAGTATATGCTTTATGATTCCATTCATGTGACACTCTAGAAAATGCAGATTCATCCAGAGTAACAGAAAGGAGATCAGTGGTTGCTAGGCACTGAAACTCAGAAAGGAACAGGAGCACAAGGACACTTATTTGAGATGATGCATCTGCTGTGGTTATGGTTTTACAGGTATATATAGATGTCAAAACTTAGTAAATTGCACACATTAAGCATGTGAAGTTTATTGTATGTCAATAACACTTAAATAAGAATATTGCAAACAATTTGAAGGCTCTTAAAAAACTCATGCCCTCTTGGAGAAACAATTCAATAATATGTGATTCTGGGGGGGAAAAAGTCTACTTTATGAATTTTCTTTTCTTAGCAATTAGACACATGACCATCTCCCTGTTACTTATTACTTTCTGTCTTCTATTCTAGTCATTGATATTCATTGGTTTAGTCTTTGACAAATATTCATTGAATGTGTCTTCTGTGCCAGGCACTATTCTAGCTTCTGGGAATCCATTAGAGAGAAAAAAACAGTGATTCCCTGATGAAGCTGATGATCTAGGAACACAGACATCAATATATTTCAAAACAAATCTCTAAGACTGTCACGGAAAGTGCTATAGAAGGAAAAGGGAAGGGGCCTATAGGAGGGTGTTGCAGAGACATGACCTTGTCTACAGGGTGCTGGAAGTCTTGCCTGGGATGTGACACTTGATGTAAACCCCTTGAGAAAAGTCATGGGCTCCATCATGGACTCAAAGCACACTGCTTGTCTCCAGGCAGATGTTCCAAATACTGTATGTTTTTTTTTAATTAAGTGGAATATATCCTTGTATTACGTTTAATACTTTGTTAATAGTTTTTTTTCTTCTCCCCTGTTCAAGGTAACCTTTGAATAATGAAAGCATTATTTAACAAGGCAAAACTGATTTAATCAAATTAAATTTATATGTATCTCTTTACTTTTGTTGTATTTTAAAAAAAAATCTCATGTCTTTGCTTTTTATCCTGTCTTTTTAATTTAATTCACCATAAACCCATGACAAAATTGTACTAATTGAAAACAGATAATTGAAGGGAAAATGTTCAGGGACTTACTTTATTAAATTATACGTTCACTTTCCATGTTTTACTGATTAACTCTTTTTTTCCCCCTTTTAAAAAATCTTTATTATTGAAAGTATTACATAGGTCCTCATTTTTCCTCCCTTAACCTCTTCCAGCCCACTGTTGTCCTCCCTCTTCCCCATGGGCCCTCACCACCCATTGTCTGTGTCCAAGGTTATACATATATGCACACAAGTACATTGCAATATTGTCTTTTTTTATGGTTTCTTTTTTATTTCTTTATTGATTAAGGTATTACATATGTGTCCTTATCTTCTCCTTGCCCTCTCCTACTCCTGCACTCATGCCTCACCCCCCCGTTGTCTGTGTCCATTGGTTAGGCTTATATGTATGCATACAAGTCCTTTGGTTGATCTCTCCCCTTTACTCTACCCTCCCCTGCCTTCCCTCTGATGTTTGAGGGTCCGATCAATGCTTTTCTGTCTCTGGACCTGTTTTTGTTCATCAGTTTATGTTTTTCATCATATCCCCTAAATGAATGAAATCATGTGATATTTATCTTTCTCTGTCTGGCTTATTTCGCTTAGCATAATGCTCTCTAGTTCCATCCATGCTGCTGCAAATGATAAAAATTCATTCTTTTTTACTGCAGCGTAGTATTCCATTGTGTAGACGTATCATAGTTTTTTAATCCATTCATCTGCTGATGGGCACTTAAGCTGTTTCCAAATCTTAGCTATGGTGAATTGTGCCACTATGAACATAGGGGTGCTTATGTCCTTTCTGACTGATGTTTCTAGTTTCTTTGGATATATTCCTAGAAGTGGGATCACGGGGTCAAATGGGAGTTTCATTTTTAGTTTTTTGAGGGAATTCCATACTGTCTTCCACAGTGGCTACCCCAGTCTGCATTCTTTCCAGCAGTGCAGGAGAGTTCCTTTTCCTCTGCATCCTCACCAGAACTTGTCATTTGTTGATGATAGCCATTCTGACACATGTGAGATGGTACCACATTGTCATTTTGATTTGCATCTCTCATATAATTAATGATTTTGAGCATGTTTTTATGTCTCTTGGCCTTATTTACTTATCTTTTTGAGACTGATGTTTTTTGTTTGTTTGTTTGTTTTTTTCATAGAATGCATTTTCCCTTAGAGCTCAAGAAAAGCGAGCCTGGGAAATCAAAGTGCTCATAGTAGCTTAGTCTCCCTGACACCATTATTCCTCCCAATCTCACACTTTAATGACCAGCTGGTATTTGCCCGCCAGCCAAAAGGCCTGCATTTAGAGGCTTGATAAAGCAGGCCTTATATATACATTTTTTTCTTGCTATCTATGTAGATTAATGTAAAGTGTTTTTCAAATAAATTTCAACTTATATTTACTCCAGATCAATACTCTACCCACAATGCACATTGTCTCTCACCTAACACAGATGAGTATATAAATTTAAAATGCTGACTTTTTGAAATGCTGTTTAAAAAGTCAGACCTAAAGCTGCTTTAGATATGACAATATAATACAAGTCATGATTTATTTTAAAAATTGCTTCTAAAATGTTACTTTTCATTTTCTTTTGTATACGTAGGTGCTCAGTCCCAAGCTATAACTTACTTGGAAGATCAGGTTACAGCAGAATTTGCTCTGTAAGCTCTGAAACAGCCTTCAGCCAAAAGCAATAAAACCAGACTTGAACTAAAGGTGGCCATCAGGAAAAACAAGGAGCCTTATTGAATACTTCCCTGCACCAGAGCCTGGAGCAAGGTGAGAGGAAATTAGATGTTACTTCCATATTACCAAGGAGGGAGAGGAAAAAATCCCAGAGATGGTCTAGGATCATCAAGGAGGTTGGAGGTCTGAAACACTGGGAGGATTTTCTTTTTTTTCCTGTCAACACACATATTCTTTGCCTCTCCCTTCCTGATGAGATTCTGACATGCTTTCCTGGAGGATGTCCATTTCATCTCCCTCACAAACACTCCCTTGCCCGGTTCAATGCTTTGGTGACCCTTTGTTACTGAAAAAGATAACTTTTCTAGACCTCATGCATGGTGGATGGAGGGGAAAAAAACCACTCGGGCATCAACATAGAGGACTCAGAAAAGTGTAACTCAGTGATCTTGGCTCTGTGCATATTGGGACTGCCTGGGGGAACTTTGGAAACATGGAAATACCTCCATCAATTCTCACTTAAATGATCTCACTGGGTCCAAGTCCTGGTGCTTTTAGAAGGCCACTCGTGTTTCCACTCTATGAGCAGGGTTCAGAGTCAATGTTTTAAAACTCATCATTATTCTATTTTAAACAAAGGTTTTCGTATAGTCTTTATGTCCAGCACTTCTTTTTCTAAACGCCCTCTCCTCTCAGTACTTCTCATTGACGAAATTCATACAAGACCAAAGGAAAGGTAGAGCAGACTGTCACTTCTATGGATGCTGGCATACCAACTGGCTGGACAGTAATTGCTGTGAGGCTGAAAATGTGACAAGCCAAGACACCACAGGCCCCATTCATAACACTGAAAGGGCTGCCTTGTGAGTGATGCTAAGCAGAGTGGCCTGGCCTAGGACTTTTCTGTGAATGGACAGTCCTCACGAAGGACCTTTGTTTATTGAAGAAAACTTACTTGAGAACTTGAGGTAGAGCTATATATGATTTGTGCCTTATAAGACTAAATAGCTTTAGAATGCTGATAGGATGCTATTAGGAAAACAATATTCCATCTTTTATGCTCACCTCTGAGTTACGAGTTCAGAAGGCTGAGTTTAATCAAGCATGATGGAGACAGTAGTGGCCAGCAGCTCAAAGTGACCACAGCAGAGTGGGTGTGCCAATCCTAGCATTAGACTGAGAAGATAAGGCCTGGGTTCTGCTCATGGTTCTGGCACAAATGAACCTAGTGACCTTGGGAAGTTCCTTTGGCTTTTGGTGCTTTCTTTTCCTTCACTTATGGGGCCTGGTTTGGGATTAGATGACATCTAAAACTTTTTATAGTTGTAATATTATACAGTATAATCCCTTAAGAGGTATTGGTGAATATATATTGATAAATATAGGGGATGTTGGAGGAAATAGGCCCTCTTCACCTATTTAAAGTGGTCATAGAATGTTAGAATTGGAATTTAGTCAGTCACACATATAGTGAACACCTCCTGTGAGCAAAGGACAGTGTGAGGATGGAGAGCTGAGCATTAAGAGAAGCTGATTGTGGTCCCTGCCTTTCCCAGACTTGCACAACATGGAAGGGCAGAGGAAACCATGCCAAAGGCTCATAGAATGCCAGCACAGATGAATGATTTAACAGAGGTTCAAAGATCAATGGGGGAATCAGAGGGAGAAATAAAGATCGTTTAACTCCATCAAGATGATTAAGAATGAATTTAGAAAATCAGTGTTTATTTATTGAAGGTGTTGGAAGACATGTGTGTAGTGGTGGACTTTCTTGGGAAAGTCACCGTGTCCCTTTTGTTTGCAAACCTGCACCTGTGTTGTCTGGGTGCTCAATACATGCTATTCTTGACTGATTGCAGAGTAGAAGTCATTGTTGGTATTGCTTTCAAACCTACTTTATCCAAGAGCAGCATTAGCAGCGGTCTGGCACCTGCTGTATAGATTTGTCATCATATTACAAGGAGCAGAGCCATTTGGTGGTGCCCCGCTCCAGGTCTCTTTGCTGCACTGCACTGGAGTCTCACATTAGAAGTACATAACAATGCCAATGTGCTCGGATGGCACTTTCACAAGCCTAATGAGGGCATGGTGGTCCTCAGACTAGAGTCTGGATGAGCAGCTTCCTGTACCTCACATGGCTTCTCTCTCGTGGTGGCAGCCACTGAGCACTGGGGTGATGAGCTGTGTCACTGGAGTGTGATGACAATGCCAGGAAGGATTATAAACAGAATGTACCCAAAGAAGCTACTGGTGCCTGTGAGTGCCAAGAGGAACAGATGGTACTGCAGAGGGTGTTTAGAAAGGCCATTAGGACAACTTAAGTTATCAGAAGACTGTGACAAGAGACTCATGAGGCACAACAGCAATCAGCTTAGTTTGGTACAAAGTCAAGATAAAGATAGCAAAAGCATATTCTGTATTTGGGGAATGTGACAAAGTCAGGAACTCAAAGAAGTGATACATGTTGCTTAAAAATGACACTTATGTGGACAAGAAGGAATATATATATATATATATATATATATATATATATATATATATATTTATTTTTAAGCATAGGCAACCATTCAGGTTCCAGCTAATGGGGATACCTGGGTGTAGCCTTCCAGTTGATAAGGAAGGAATATCAACTGGAAGGAAGTGGATATGGAGCAGGTTGATTGTAAATAAGGACCCAGTATAAGCTTACTTCCCTCCTAATGTCTGAGGCCCAGGCATCAGAGTACAGTGTCTGTACATTTGGATGATATTAGCTCTGAGGCCCAGAACCTGAGTGTTGAGATTATAAACAGAAAGACAGAAGCAAATTTTGGAGGAATCAGAATCAGTTCTCACACTTCTCAAAGCTTCATGTCATCTCTTAGCTCTGATTCTGAGACCCCCCCATCACCACCCACCCAATCTCATGTAGCAGAGGGACATTCACTGAGCAGATAGCTGCACAGCAAAGGGACTGATCCAGGTTACTCTGAAGTCTTTTTTTTTTCTAAGCATTTATGGTGATGCTAACTTTGAAATTAGGGAATCATAGGATGTCAGTGAGTGGCTATTATAAGCAAAGGCCATGTGTAAGTGAGGGTTTGGGATTGAACATAGGGAGGATCTAAATATGGTCTCTGTCTTTCCCAATGGACACAAATGGAAGGGCAGAAGCACCCACCAAATGGCCAATAGAAGTCAACTCAGATAAATGATTTAATAGGAGGATAGCATTCAGTGGGGAAATGAGAGAGAACAATAAGGTATTCTAGATCAAATTCTTCAATTAATGGATGAAGAATGGGATCCCCAAAAGCTAGTGGCAAAAATAGAATTGGGGAGCGTTTCCCTTAGGGAAATCTGCCAACATACCCATCACTGTCCTCTGATTTTGCACTGCATCTTCCAAGATGATCACATTCACATTCACCAATTTATATCTTAAGTGTTCAATGCAGTCATTTAAAATGGAGTGTGTGTGTGTGTGTGTGTGTGTGTGTGTGTTTGTGTGATTAAAGTCATGTATCCTTATCGAGTTTCCATCTGGAAAGGAAAGGAAAGGAAAACATGAAATAAAGCCAAACAAAATTATATTACATGCTCTAATCTTATTTCTCTGTCAGTTTATGGACTACCCTGGTTTGTCCATATCTGAGGCTCATTTCCCTCCAACATGAGAGACCCGATTTGAACAGTTTACTTAATTTTAGTGAGAGTCTTATTGAAAGTGTTGTGCCTGGACCAGCAATTTGGCATCACCTTAGAGCTAGTAAAAAATGCAGAAGCTCTGCTCTCCCACAGACCCACTGAATTAGAATATGCGCATTAACAAAATCCCTTAATGATTTCCATGCACATTAAAGTTTTAGAAGCTCTGCCTCAGATTCCTCCCTGACTCCAGATTTGTAGTCCCCAACACTGACTTTATGTCTCCATCTGGCTGAATCAGAGGCAGCTTTTATCCCCCTGTAAATGGAATTTATGATCCTTCTTCCCATGTGGCTCTTCCTATATTTTGAACTCAGTTCATGGTGTCATTTTCCTATCCAACCCTAAGCTCCCAACACCAAGGACATTTTCCACTCTATTCTTTCTCTGCACCTTTGACATTCATCAGATCCAAATGGGATGAATCCTACCCCAGAAATGCCTCTTTAATCTGCCTGGACTTTCTTATTACCTCTATTTCTTTGGTTCAGGAAGAAAGTCTTCCCCCAAAAAGCCATTCCAATGTCTCTAATATTTCCCCTGCACAGCATCACCACCACCATTTCCAACTCATCCAATTTCCCTTGGAAAAACATTTCCACTCTATCTTAACTATAAGTCAATAGCCAAAACTGCACTGCGAATTTTGTGAGAGCTGTGGTCAACATCTGTTTTGTTTTGTTTTGTTTTGTTTTTTTTTTTTCTAGCAATACACACACACACACACACACTTTAACCCCACCCCCTCTCTATCTGTCTTTGTGTAGAATGACTATCTATTATCTATCTATCTATCTATCTATCTATCTATCTATCTATCTATCTAATATCTATATCATCTACATACAGATATAGATAATATAAATATTATACATGCAGGTTTGCAGAAATTTAAGACCCAAGTTAATGGAGAAGCAAGTGTCTAATTACACTGCAAATTACAAAATTGTCTTTTGCTCTAAAACAGAGTACTTTAACTATGTTGTGCTATCATATTAATAGAAATAAGCTCCGTTCACTTATGAACTAGGCAGTTTAATAAAATAGATTATATTTCCTAACTAACAAGAGGACCAAAACACAAACAAACAAAAAACCAGGAGCAAACACATTTATGTTTTCCTTTTGGAAGAGATGTTGTTATAAAAATTAAGTCTTAATAGCATTTTTAAAATGAGGTTATTCATTTAGTAAAATTTAGTACTATTATATGGGAATGATGGCTTACTTATAAGGGCAATACATTTAGAATTTTATTTTTCCTAAAGAAATGGTATGACATGTGCTATATTGATGTCCCTGCTTTAAATTTTAATGGAACTCCTAAAATTTTTGGAAGGCAAAAACAG